ATGTCCTAAAATGTACTTTCCTCATTTTCATTTTATATTGTTCACCTGTCTCTTGCTCATCATTATGTCCGTGTTTTTTTTTTATGAATTATTATAAGCTTCTCTTCAATTTCTGTATTTATTATTTCTTCTTTTTCGCAGTCTATCTTTCTCTTTTCATTCTTTCTTCTTTATCCTTCAAATTCTTTCATCTTTCATATTATTTTTTGTTAATTTATCTTTATTTTGCTTTCTTATTTCAATTCTTTTATTAACCTCTCACCTTGTTTTAATTTTTTAAAAATTGTTCCTTCCTTTGAAATCGTATTTTACTATCATGCAGTTTTTCATTCTAATCGCGTAACCTTATGTCTATCTCCTCCAAATATAAGTTAAATAGTTGGACGTGTATCTGGATAACTCGCATTTTCTTGCTCTGAAAAATAACCAATGCATTATTCTCTCGCAAAAAGTAAATTGGTCCATTGTGCTTAAGTTAGAAAGATAAATTATATCAGACTGGCGGCCGAAAATCTGCTACCAACCCAAGTACGACACAAGATGTTGTAAACTTAACAACTATTTTATTCAGACTCCCGCTCGACCCGTTTGCTCCCAGCATTCCCTAGTGGGCCCGGAAGTGCTCGCAATCATCATCTTCATCACCATTATTGATGATGTTATAAATATTAAGAATTAATGCTATATACAACAGAAAGTGTTGGCTAGTCTTAAATAAGCCAGAAAGAGTTAAAGAATAGTAAAAATATCTGTCTATATTTCTGAGATGAGGTATTATGTACATTATTTACATTATTCGGAAAATTGTTCTCATCTTTGTCGCCATATTTATTACAACGTTTCGGCAGTTGTACGCTCTGGCCTTCTTCAGGTGATTGGAATGTCGAACTGAACCCTTCACTTCGTTCACTGGGGTAGACTGTTCTATTTCCACGCGCCATTTAATGGATGTCAGTTATCAGTTATCTCCGGTTAATTTCCCTCTGAAAGTTCTCCACTGCCTTAACCGGGTATTGAACTCATACTCTTTGGGACATGTCACTGGATCTAACTAACTGTTTCATGTGTCCTTGAGGACATCTGTGTATGACTTTCTGGGTATTATAAACCTAATGTTTTGAGCAATGATTTTTTTTTTTTTTTTACCAGTGATCATATTGCAAATTTTGCTATTATCATTACATGTTTTTACCAGAGTTCATATTGCAATTTTTGTTGTTATTATCGCTTTTCTCTGGCACTCCTTATTACTGGTTCCCATATTGTATTCATTTCCCAAAACATGACACGTAGAACTAGAAAATTCTACCCCAGTGAGGGAAATAAAGGGTTCAGTTCAATATTCCAAACACCTGAAGAAAACCGGAGCGTACAACGGCCAAAACGTTGTAATAAATATGGCGACAAAGATGAGGACAATAGTCCGAATAAAGTAAATAATGTACATAATACCTCATCTCAAAAATATAGACAAAACGATATTTTCTTTAAAAATCCCGCTCCGTGCTAATACTAAAGTCACTGAGACGCGTGGGGGTTAGTGAATGTGAGAGAAAACATTAAGGAAAGAGAAAAATAAAAGAACAGGAATTAAGAAGATAGAAGATAATGATTGACATTGTATTCAATTATTTGCAGAACACGTTTTACTGGAAAGCAAGAAGCCGGAAAAAGTGGGATCGCTGCTTAATATAATTTAATTCTCATGTTTCTTCAGATCTGTCCCCCTATATGCCAGTGAATGATGGATAATCTCCTCAAAGATGAAAAAGAAACTTGAAGAGATATGTGTTTCAATAGACGGATGATGAAGATATCATGGAAGGGATATGTGAGTAACGACGAAATTTGGACACGTGTAATTAAAAACCAGAAAGTGTTGAAATTTATAGGCCACATAATGAGAAAAGCGGGTTTGGAGAATTTGATACTCACCGGTGAGATTGAAAGCAAGCAGAACAGAGGAAAACAACGCATAACCTATGCAATGGATCTCAGAACATGGTTTAGGAGCAATAAGAAAAAGTCATAAGTTATTTAGATCTACAAAAGGCAGGAAATTTATTATCGTCAAGGCCCTGAAAGGAATGTGACGAAAAGAACTATTAATACTAGAGATAGTGGAACTATTACTTTTTAGCTAAATTGAAATTATTAAAGGGAGCAGATTTTAAAAAATATATATATATAAACCCTTTTTTTTTCTATTATACAATTACATGCTGCATGGAATCGGAACGTAAAATACAAGAAAACAATGTTCGATTTTATGGAGTAAGTAGTAGCATTCGCGTAATAGATGAAAACCATTTTTAATCTGAATTTAATCCTTTTAGGTTAAGCATGGTTACCAGCAAAAGCATGAGCCTAAAGGGCAAAATACAAATCGGAGATACTAAATTTAAACAATTACGAAAATTTAAATATCTGGGAAGTGTCTTAACAGTGGACGGGATGCTCGTTACTGAAATCCGAAGACGTATTGGAATAGAAAAAGATATTTTACAAAAGCTAAGCAGGGAACTAAAAAACAGAAAAAAACTTCATTAGAAATGAAGAAAAGAGTACTGAACTGTTATACGATATCTGTCCTCCTATAAGGTAGTAAATACTGGACAATATCCTCAAAGATGAAGGAGTGACAGGAATCAACAGAAATTTGGTTCTATAGAAGAATGCTAAGGATACCATAGACCGAATATGGAAGAAAATGGAAACAAAAAAGAAAATATATATTTAACATCTGGAAGAAATATCTGGAATCTCTAGAGCATACAATGAGGAAAGGGGGCTTGGAAAATCTGATACTCACGGCAAAGATAGAAGGAACGAGGAAAAGAGGAATACAACGCATAACTTACTTGGTGGGCTTGAGGAAATGGATGGCGGAACAGCGTTTGGAAGAAATAATAAACAGGCAAAAATTATTAAGAGAACAAAGGACATGAAATTGTGGAGAGCCATCATCGCCTACGTCCTGAGGGGATATGGTGCATGAGGAAGAACTGTCCCCCCCCCCCCGCCATCGTCGTGTACTACTACCGTCCGTGCTACTCTTCTTTAAGAGCGATCAGCCTACTCAACCTTATATTCCCATAAGCCTTATTCGTTTTCTACCACCAATTAACTATTTACAGTGTCCGTACCTCGCTATATTTCCTTCCCTGTGCAACAAAAAAACATTCTCACCTGTCATCTTATAGCTTTAACATTGCCTGCACAAAGGATATGTATGTAGATGCACTAGCGTGCTTCTTCTTGTCATTTCGCCTGCACTGATGCATGCTGGGATACACTTGTCTAATGTTAATCTTTTTTTTTTTTCTCTCACCACTTGGGACACACGACGACATGTACTGTTCTACGCTGATTTTAATCAAACAGTCACGCACACCTTCACGAGGAACAGATAAACGTGAGGAATGCAAATACAAAATCGAAAAAATGAAAAGCAAAAATAAAAGTTAACGAAGGAAATCGAGGAAACGAAGAGTTGTGGTTAAAAAGCAAGAGATAAGGGGGGTGGAATGATAGTTACAATGGAAATAAAAGAAATTAAAAAAAAAAGAGAAGTAAGGGGAGACAATTTTTGAGCGTCAGGAAAGAAGTAAAAAAAGGAAAGAAATGAAATGTGAGAAAAAAGAAACAAATAAAAGATAGAGAGATAGGGGGTATTAGAAATAAATAAAAAAGTAAATATAGACAATCACTAGAAAGAAAGAAAGAAAGAAAGAAAGAAAGAAAGAAAGAAAGAAAGAGAGAAAGAAAGAAAGAAAGATAAAAGAAACAAACAAAAAAAGAAAGAAAGTAAATGAGATTTTAAAAAAAGGATAAACAAGCAACGGATTGAGAGTTAAGTAGTTAACGTAAATAACGAGAAAATACAGGCAAACGGTAGATAGAAAAAAGAAAGAAATAAAGAAAAAAAGAAAGAAAAAAGAAGGAAAGAAAGAAAGAAAAGAAAGAAAAAAATGAGATCTGAGAAGGATTAAGAAACTGTTGGTAGAGAGAAAGTAACGGAAGAAAGAATAAACACAGACATACGTTTGAAAGAAAGAAAGAAAGAAAGAAAGAAAGAAAAAAGAAAGAAAGTAAAATTCTACCTAGGAGTGGAAATGTTGCAATATTAGCGCGTATATGTCCTACCATTACCTAAGATAAATATTGAGCCATTCCTGATTGTTTGAGAGGATAGTCATATAATAGATTTTATAAAAGACTAGCAGCAAGGCCCGGCGTTTCCCGTGCTTGATTCAAATATCGTATGACTCATACAGCAATCGTTATCAATTGACTTAAAATATTTTTGCCCTTCCTTGCCTGTAAAGGAGTGCCCTTTGTCGTGCTGATGTTGCTGCATGCCTTACTTCTTGCCTATCTCACACCGCGATTTTTTTCTAAGCTCTATACTAAACATTAAATCTTTTACCAAAACAAGATCTAAACAAAATGAACACAAAACGATCAACTTTAAAAAAGAACTCCTAACTGGAAAAACCTAATGAAAAAAGAATGTTAACAACAAAAACTTTTTCACACCCAACCCAGTTCTGTGGAATCAGAATCAACGTTGAGTTTAAGAAAGCGAATGAGCCAATTGGAGTCAATTGGAGTAAAGTGCCATGCAGATTTAAATTTTTCCCACTTGTGACGAATGCATCTATCGATTTTTTTGCATACTAGCATGCTAGTTAACATCCGTGTCAGTCAGCAGTTGGCTCTCACGCTGGCCAATAGAATCTTCCTGCCTATTCGTGGCAGCCAGCTATAGCCTTTCACTCTGGCCAGTAGAAAATGGCGCAAACTACATGAAGCCGTAGAAGCATGAAAAAATCGATTATTTCCACTATCGATGGGAGTTGGGAAATGCAAAGTCGGTCTTGACCTTGCCGCATGTAAATTTTGGTGCAAATCCGTCGAAAATTGTGGCCGTGCATTTGTTACACACACACACATCCTGCCTTTTATAAATATAGATTTATGGATGGCGCAGTTTGATT